GCACCTCTAATATAAATGTCCCTAGTCCTGGCCTTGTGGCTCAGTTGGGTAGAGTGTTGTCCCATACACGAAAAGGTTGTGGCTTTGATTCATGGTCAGGGCTCATACCTAGGTTGCAGGTTTGATCCTGGTGAGGGTGTGTATGGGAGGCAACCAATTGGTGTGTTCTCTCTCCCTCTCCCTCTCCCTCTCTCTTTCTATCTGTTCTCAGGTGAGGATTAAAAGAATAATAAGTAAATAGATAAATAACTAAATGTCCCTACTCCAAAAGAAACACTATTGTAAGCAAGGGATCCAACACATATGTGGCAGACATTAAAACAAACAAAAAATACATCTTCTGCTTTCAACACAGCCCACTGGCTAAACCAAAGTTCACCCTTTAGCAATAACTACAAGAAATTACTTAGCATTCCACATTCTGAAAAGGCTTTGATTACAGTCGTTGGCATAGAAACCTGGAGTAAATAGATATGGAAAGAGAATAAGTGCAAGGAAAAAAATGCTTGCTGAGCTGTTACTATTAGGAAAGCGTACGTTGTTTCAAATGAATCTTTATCACACCATTCTCTTAAAAAGTCTGTGTAGTATATATTTATAGTCTCTAATTTTACTTTGAGAGGATGTGAAAAGGAGAAAGTCAGAATAAATGAAAATGCTAATTTATCCTTCAAAGCGGCTCCTGAAAAAACTGTGTTGCTCCTTCTCTGGTAGTGTTCTTGCTCTCCCCCCCTGCCTGCATTATAATGATCTGAAGGAGCTGATGGGCAAAACATCAAGCATTTCCTCCTTTCTCCCCAAGACCTGGCAGTGCAAAATTTAATAAAAAGCTTCCACAACCCAATGAAACTCACTCGTGAAACAATCACAATAATGTGCATTTTATTTACTAATACTTAATGAATGAACCAATCCAAGTGGTATTCAAGTCCATCTGCTTCCCTTACAACATCCAAAGAAAAAGAATCATTATAGAGGACATTTTAAACCTATCTAGCTGATGCTACTTCAAATCCACATTTTAGGTTAAACATACATGATTAATTTATAATAATTTCACAAATCAGAGCTAATCTCCCAAATAAAGCCATATCCAATTCACAATATTCATAAAACCTGTTCACTGTAAATACCAGTCAAGAACCTATTATATAATAACTAGAAGCCTGGTGCACAAATTCGTGCACCACTGGGAGTTCCTTGGCCTGGCCTGAGGGATCAGGCCGAAATTGGCTCTCCAACATCCCCCGAGGGGTCCTGAATTGCAAGAGGGTGCAGGCCAGGCTGAGGGACCCCACCAGTGCATGATCAGGGCCAGGGAGAGACACGGGAGCTTGGCCAGCCAGGGAGGGACCGCAAGTGGGCCCTAGGGTATGTCTGACCCCTCTTGCTCAGTCCTATCAGTTAGACCCCAGCAGCAAGCTAACCTACCAGTCAGAGCATCTGCTCCCTGGTGGTCAGTGCACATCATAGCAAGTGGTTGAGTGGCCTTAGCATATCATTAGCATGTTATGTTTTGATTGGTTGAATGGCCACTTAGCATACTGGATGACCAGACACTTAGCATATTAGGCTTTTATTATATAGGATAAGATTCTACTAAACCAAAATTAGAATATGGACTCTCTTCACATAAGATCCATGAAGGACAAAGACAGAAATGCTAGATATAATTTTTTAACCCTCACCTGGGGATATGTTTTTGTTGACTTTTAGATGGCCAGCTCCATGTGAGCAGCAACTTAGCTCATGTGCACACCACTGTGGTTCCAGCCTAGAAGGATATCTGGTCCAGAGTAGACTGCTTCAGAAAGCTAGATAGTGAGATACCTTCAAATGGACTTGTGTTCAGCCAAAAACTATTGGAGGGCCAGTACACTTTATTAAGGACCCTCAGTCTCATTTCCTAAGCCATATACACTGAGTGGCCAGATAATTATGTTCTCTGAACACATAATAATATGGCCACTCAGTGTATATCCTATAAAAGGCTAATATGCAAATTGTCCCCTCAACCAGGAGTTCGACCAGCAGGCAGGCTGGCAACCACCCATGCCCCATCCCCCTGGCAAGGCTGGCTGGACCCCACCCATGCACAAATTCATGCACTGAGCCACACACACACACACACACACACACACACACACACTGAGTGGCCATATTATTATGCATTCAAAGATCATAATAATCTGGCCTCTCTGTGTATTGGAATCACAAAGAGCATGCAGTCAGGCAGTAGGCAGACTGCTACTAATTATATGGCCTGTCAAGTCACTTTACCTGTCTGAGCCTCTGTTTTCTCCTGTGTAAAAATGAGATAACCATGCCTGCCCCACAGGGTGGATGCAAGTGTTTAATGAGTTGATGTATTAAAAACACTTAAGTGTTCATTGTGAGGCTCCCAGAAGAAAAAAAAAAATTCTCAGCACCTGAAAGTTAGGGAGGAAGAGATTATGAGCATGAATCTGCTCAGGTTCTAGGATAGGGGTGTCGAACTCAATCAGAGAAGGGGCCAAAATCTAAAATACAGCCTAAATCGCGGGCCGAATGGTTTACTGAACAGTCATAAACTGTCACTGTGATGGAAACGCAGCGGAGTGCAGTGATGACAGCACGGTGAGGGCCACATTGCAAGGCCTGGCGGGACGGATTTGGCCCGCGGGCCTTGTGTTTGACACATGTGTTCTAGGATAACCATTAGCTTCATTTGCTTCCCAATTGGACTGGAGAGTAAATTTACATGACTACTTAACTAGTAGTTAAGTGCAAAAGATTTGGTCTCTCTCCCTATATTAAATGTACTAATACACATAAAAGTACTCAATATGTTAGCTGCTCTTATTCTTACCATTGTTATTTTTTTAAAATATATTTTATTGATTTTGTACAGAGAGGAAGGGAGAGAGATAGAGTTAGAAACATCGTTGAGAGAGAGTCATCGATCAGCTGGCTCTTGCACACCCCCTACTGGGGATATGCCCGCAACCAAGGTACATGCCCTTGACCGGAATCGAACCCGGGACCCTTCAGTCCCCAAGCCAACGCTCTATCCATTGAGCCAAACCGGTTTCGGCTCTTACCATTGTTATTACTTACCAGTCCAGAGAAAAGCCAGGCCCTGCAGAAAAGAGGAAGTGGGAAAGCAACAGGATTTTTTCCTTCTTGACTGTGGCCTATTGAGGCCAGTATTCCTAAACATTTTTTGTACTTTTTTTCATTCCTTTGTTGACCTCTGAACCCACAGTCTTTCTAAAAGCTACTGGTTTGTTTTTTTCTCTTATGTCACTGCCAAGACTCTCCCAAACATCCCAAACCATGTGGCTATCAGTTTCCCAAGATTCCCGACCTACCTGATTGGACATTGGTGTGCATACATCACGAGCATCCTTAACTCCTAGCTCCAAAAGGCCTGGGAGACACCAGACTCACCTAATTGCCTGGAGTTTAGTGGGGGGTAGCTGGGTATATTGAGAAGTGATGTGGATAATGGCATAGGAATCCTGATTTTATTTATTTATTTATTTGTTTGTTTATTTATTTATTTATTTTAATATATTTTATTGATTTTTTACAGAGAGGAGGAGAGAGGGATAGAGAGCTAGAAATGTCGACGAGAGAGAAACATCGACCAGCTGCCCCTTGCACACCCCCTACCGGGGATGTGCCCGCAACCAAAGTACATGCCCCTGACCAGAATCGAACCTGGGACCTTTCAGTTCGCAGACCAACGCTCTACCATTGAGCCAAACCAGTTTCGGGGAATCCTGATTTTAGAATGAGTAAGCAATGCTAGTTCCGGGATGTGAGCTGCAATGTCAGATTGGAAACCTGCCTTCTTAAGACACAGTTCCAGACTCCAGCTGCTCTGTTTGGCTTCACAAAGACACTAACACTGGCAACAGCTGCTGCTTCTTGAGTGGATATCAGCATTTAGAATTTAAACAATCATTTGCTTACAGTAGGAGACTGTACAACCAAGCTAGACTTTGCCAGCGTCAAGGCTAGGTACAGAGAAAATCACCAAGGTGTGCAAAGAAATGCTAGATAAGAAAAATGAAGCCCTAGCCTAGCTGGTTTGGCGCAGGGGATAGAGCGTTGGCCTGCACACCAAAGGATCATAGGTTCAATTCTGGTCAAGGGCATATGCCTAGGTTGCAGCCTAAAAGACACCCAGATCGTGCAGGAGGCAGCCAATCATGATTCTCTCTTGTCATTGATGTTTTTATGTCTCTCCCTTTCCCTTCCTCTCTGAAATCAATAAAAAGTATGTTTTTAAAAAGAAGAATGAATAACCTAGTCAGAGTCTTAAAAAGTGGCCTCTGCCAGGCCAGTGTGGCTCAATGGATTGAGTATCATCCCATACACCAAGAGGTCACTGGTTCAATTCCCAGTTAGGACACATGCCAGGGTTGCAATCTCAAACCTCCCAATAGGTAGGGGCATGCAGGAGGCAGCCGAATGACATTTCTCTCTCATCAATGTTTCTCTCTATATATATCTCCCTTCCCCTTTCTAAAAAACTATTAAAAACATATTGTTTTAAAAGTGGCCCTCAAACTATTGTACAACTTGGGGCCTTAGAATTGCATCATAGAAGCCTCAAGGGCTTCCAGGGGCCGTGTGTGTGTGTGTGTGTGTGTGTGTGTGTGTGTGTGTGTGTGTCTATCATAGGCACCCCATACTCCAGAGAGGGAGGAAAGGAAACTGAGAGCCTCCCACCCTACTCTGGTGGGACTGGGATAGGGGTAAAGACTTCAAGGACCACATTGGGTGATATGGAAGAGAGCCAGGCTGAGACAGGACCTCTTACAGTAAGTACCTCCAGGAGTTCACAGACACTTTTTTAAAGTAAAGAAAAAAGAAAAGAAAGGTAGAATGCTACTTGAAAGCCGAGAACCTATCTTTATGATTGCTTTGAGGAAAAAAGTCAAAAACCCAACCACACATTTTCCCAAACACATACTCCCCCACTGGGCCCTTGAGTAAAATGTCAGGCTTACCTTGACATGCTGAACAACACATTCGCTTACGTTCACTTTGTAGGTTCTTAAGCCCAGCTCCTTAGATAACCTTAGGATCCTGTTCTGGGTGGGTCCCACATAAGCCCCACCAACATCCACATAACCAACATGTTTGTTCTGCAAAGAGAAAAAAGTGTTCAGAAAACTTTAGTTAAAACTTGAAAAAAAAAGTTTGTCTTATAGCAATAAAGCATTTATTTTTTATAACTGAAATGTGCCTTACATCTAATAAATTGCAACTCAAAAATAGTAATCCTTTCTCTCCACTCATAAATCCTGTATGATATTTATCACCAATCAATGCCATTTGCATAGTTATTGGTGAGGCCAATTCAACAAGGACATACATAAAGAACAAAGAACACTGCAGTGCATCCTGCCAATCTAGAACCTCTGTAAAGTGTTACTGGAGGAGTCACCCAAGGGTTTATTAGGCCTAATTCTCTGATTTCCAAAGATGAAATCTTAAATCAGCCTACACCACTGGTTTCTTCAGCTGATTTTAAACACTTGCAGGCATCTAAAAATCAAGTGAATAAAAAATTGACGAACAGAATGGACTGATGAATATAATAGAATCAGGGACATAGAAAGGGAGTGGACTGACAATTCTCGGGGGGAAGGGAGTGTGAGGGGTGTGGGAAGAGATTGGACAAAAATCTTACACTTATGGATGAAGACAGTGGCGTGGGGGCAGGTAAAGGCATGGGGTGGGGTGGGGAATCAGGTAGAGGGGAGGTATGGGGGGGAGAGGAACACCTGTAACAATCTGAACAATAAAGATTTATTTAATTAATAAATAAACCTACATTTCTATGAAAAAAATAAAATTAAAACACTTGCAGGGAAGAATGAATCATAGGAAAAAGAGTACAAAAAGGTATTAGAGATTCATATGCCTAACAAAGCATTCTTTCTTAAACTGAATTTTACTTTACTCCTCTTAAATCCAGTTCTACTTTTTCCCAGCTTCTTTATTTAACACATTCCCCAATGATTTAATCAGTAAATTAAATATTGGCGAGTTATAAGTCCTTCATGTGTTTGTCATGAGTCCATATGTGTCTTACTACTTTGTTGTTTATATCAGTTCTTATTTCTGTTGCCTCTTCTCCTGGTTTGCCTAATTGTATTTTATTGCATGCCACTCATTGAATTTGAAAAACATGGAAATAATTTTAATCCTAGGAGGATGATATCTTTCCTAGAAACGACTCATGTCTGCTTCTGCCCAACTCTGAGGTTCGTTAACAATACCAAAGAACTGCAGTGCATTTTCTGTGCATGAATGGTTTGAAACTGGGCTGAAATGCACACATGGACTAATCCTTTTGCAATTTGCCCTTAGTCCTAGGACACAGTCCAGCTCAAAGCCCAAGGAATTTACCAATACCTCCCTAAACTCACACACATACTTTTCTGAACTCTGGACTTGACCTTCAGTTGCCCTAGCTTTTTAAGACTTTTGAAAGTACTACTCAACTTCCCACTTGCTCAGCAAACTCCTCCCTCCCCACCACACTGGTAGGGGGATAAGTAGGTCAGTATTTTCCTTCTGGATGTAAAAGGGTTGGGACAATTTACCTAATCTCTTATTTCCATAATATTGTCAAGTATTATTCAACCTTGATTTCCTAGAGTAACCCAACCTCATATTATCTTATTGCAGAAAATACTTTGCTACCTTTTTTTCAAGCTTTTTGTTTATGTTCACAAATGAGATTGAGATCATCCCATGATTCTCCTTTCTTCTACAGCCCTTGTTTATTTTGTACATTAGAGTATAGCTAATCTCATGAATCATACTTTCACAATCATAATTAATATACAAAATTAATTAAATGATCTCTTTGAACATTAGGTAGGACACACCTATAGAGCTATCTGGGCTTAGTGTTTTCATTGTGGGAAAATAAACTAAAAATTCAATTTATTTTGAAGCAAAAGCACTACTCATACTTTCTATATCTCCTTAACTCAGTGTTAATTTTGATAAATTATATTTTTCTTGTGGTATATGCATTTTGTGTATGCCTCAAAACTATTGATTTAAAGTTCATGACATCTTTTCATTTATTGGATGTCTCTTTTTTTCTTTAAAAATATTATGACAGTTATCTATTTTCCATAAATCTCTCCAAAGAATCAACCTTTGTTTCACTGATCATCTTTAATAGGTGTTTATTTTCTTATTGATTTAATTTTCTAACTACTTGCATGCTTAGCTTATTTATACTGATCTTTTTTCCCATTTCTATTTAGGCTATAAATTTTCCTCTAAGTATCGTTTTAGTTATATCCACAAATTTATTCTATTATTTCCCTTATTGTGCAGTTCTAAGTATTTTCAAATTTCCATTACACTTTCTCCCTAAATCCATGTTTCTAAAAGTCTGTATTTTAATTTCCATAGAAAGAGTGGTTTTTAGTTATGTTTCTGTCATAACTGTATTATGGTCAAAGAATGTGGTTTATATTATAACAATCCTTGAGGCTCACTTTATGACATATCACATGGTAAATTTTCAAAGATTTTCCCACTTGTAAACAACATACAGTCTATAAGCTTTATGCATATTCTATATATATCCATTAGAATAAGATTTAATTGTGCTCAGCCTTTTTTGTTTGCTTACTCTATTATTTAGAAATGTATGCTTAAAATCTCGTCTATAGGGCATTTATAATTTTATTTTATTTTATTTTGCTTAATCACTTCACATATTTCACCTAACCCTGCAACTTCCTCCCCCTGCAACTTTGTCCCTCTGACAGTTATAGTCTGTTCTCTATCTATAAGTCTATAGCTCTTTTTGTTTGTTAGTTTATTTTGTTCATTAGCTTCCAAATGTAAGCAAAATCATATGGCGTTTGTCTTTTTCTGACTGGCTTATTTCACTTAGCACTGGCTTTACTCTGAGTAGGAGAGCCATTGAAAGGTTTGCACCAGAAAAGTACCAAGGTCTGATTTAGATTAGGAAGGCTCATTCTAAATGCTGCAATAAGACTTGGTTATAAGACGACATTGTGAAAACAGGGAAATCAGTTAGAAGGCTATTGCAGTAATTTGCCCTAGAGATGGATTCTGGATATATTCTGGATCTATTCTGAAGGCAGAGCTAAAAGAATTTTCTGATGGAATGAATGTTGAGCATGACTCCACATTTTTTTAAAAGTTGTCATCCTCTGATATGAGGAAGGCTGCTGGAATAGAGATGTTGATGAAGAAGATCAAAATTTAATTTAGATATGTTAAATTTGAGATATCTGTTCAAGGTCTAGGAGATCTGCAAATTAATAACTTTCCTGACAGAGCAGCATGCATATTTTATTCAGCATTTTACTTACTTCAATGGGAAGAGGTAACCGGGGTTTGCATTCTGCCATAATACTAGAAATAAAGTGTTCCTTTGACCTTTCATTATGTCCCTCATATAACCCTTCTGTCCCGTTTACTATTTGTGCTTTCCTCCAAACTCTCTCTAGTCTCCACATCTTTTTTAAGCTATGAAGAAGGAAACTGGCATTAGTGCTCCCATAAATTTCTAGGCTTCCACAAACACTGCAAGAGAACTTTGAAACATGAAGCAGTAAAAGAAAATATGGAACAGGAACAGAATGTTTCTTTATAAAGTTGAAACATTCTAAAGGAGTTGCCCCAGATTCAGTCTGTAGATACTAATATTATAATACCACATTCTGCCATGTTGTACTTCAGTCTTTAGGGTTTTGACTTCAATCTCATTACTCAGTCTTTGAAGCGGACACGGACATGTAACCCTATTAGAAAACAAATGTACTATGCTTGTGGTAGCCCTATAGGCATTTCACTTCATTAACTTTATTCTGAAAAATTATACAGGTGTCACACCAGAAAAAAAATTGGGAAGCTCTGAACAAATATAATAGAAAATCTATCTTAACCCAGCTGCCAAGTGACAATATAAAATTTGACATTTCAGTACTTAAAGATCCAGAGTAATTTTTATGACACCTCCTCACCAAGTAATCCTAATTGATTATACTATTAGAGACAATTATAATAATATTCAAATCAGTATCTTATTGCATGCCATTTCCGTCCCTATTTCCTAAAACCCTTTTTTTCTCTTATTCATTTGAAATATTATAAATGTTAAATATTAGTTTCCAAGCATTTCAGAGTTACTTTCCCATAAACCTAAAGGGAGCTATAATATCATGATCAATACACAATAGTTCCTGTACAGTATTGACATATATAAATTATGCAGCATGAAAAAGCAGCCTGGGCAATAACAAGTTAGAATTCTCATTTCCTTCATGCAAATAAATTTGTTCTTAACTGAAAATCTCCAGCATGACTGATGCTCCTATTTAATAACCAAAAGGTTTGAGAGATAAGAAAAGTTGGGCTAAGGGACAACTTAATAACTAGCTCTAAAATGAAGGAAGTTTCCAGAAAATGACACTAGAATCATATCTAATAAGGTCGTACAGGCAGAATATGCAAATCTTCTTTTGAACTACAAACACTTGCCTTCAATTAGAATTTGAGTTGGAAGGGAACTCCATATAAATTATATCTCAGTGCTCAAATGAGAAAACTTGGGTAGAAGGCGCTAATAGGACTTACCAGGGGTAAATCAGTGTATCAAGCCAGTACAGGGGCCAGAACCCCAGGCTCCTAACTCCGAGACCAATAGCCTCCCAGCGGGCTACACCTGAGGAAGTACTCAGAAATTCTCCAGATACAATTAATCTGGATTTATAGTAACTTAAAGCAAACAAGCAGACAAGTATCATAGAGCAGCACTTCTGTAGTATTTCTTGGCAAAATGCAGATTCAGCTTTAGCAGGTCTGGGGCAGGGCCTGAGGTTCTGCATTTCTATCAAGCTCTCAGGTGCTTCTGAAACTGCTGGTCTACAGGACACTTTGAGTAGCAAGGCTATAGAGCACTCTTGGAGCTGAGCAAAATGGAAATGGGCCCATCATACAGCCCTGTACACCCAAATATGTAGGAAGTGAATGACTGAGGGGAGCATAGCATGGTGTGGCAAACAGCTGGTATAATATCCGGGTTTAGATGTTCTTTGTTGGCTATTCCATACCCATACATATTCCTTTTCCCATGCTGCTTTTAGTATACATCTTGAAAAAGTTACTTTCCCAGACACCCTAGCAGCCAAGGATAGCTATGTGCCCCAACTCTGGCTGATGGGACTCAGGCAAATGTCTGCTGGGGTCTTCCAGTAAAGAAAAAACTTAGTTGCAGGTAAGACGTGGGCCACCTCTTCATGCTCTTTTCTGCCTTAAAAGAGAATGTGATGCTTAGAGAGGCAGCACCCATCTGGTTACCACGAGGCAAGAAGCCGACATATAAAGAATGGCTGAGTTGAAAGACTGAAAGAGCATAGTCTTGATGACAAAGCTGAATCCCTGCCCTAGCCTGGACTACCTACCACCAGACTTCTTATGTAAATTAACTGAAGGTTTGTATTGCTTAAGCCATTCTTATTATCACTGTGTATATATCCTTTTATAAGTCAGATACATATTCTAATTAGAAGGATGCTTCTTCTCTCCTTCCAGTCATTTCACCAGTTCAGTTTTGTCCTGACAGCCAAGCCCCAGCCTTTAACACTCTGTGTGCTCTAACAAAGAGTCTCATAAATGCTTTTCTAACTGACAAACACGAGGGTCTTTTCAGTCTTCATTGTACATCAAATGCTCATGGTATTGGACTCTATCATCCATTCCTCTTTCCTCTACTGATTTGCATGGCACTGCTCTAGTCTGGTCCTCTTCCTCTGCCTCTACTGCTTTCCTCTAACCTCTGCCTCTGACCCCGCTTAAGCCTGAATGCTCCCCACACTTCCATGTTTGGCCCTATTTCCTTCCCACCCTATGTCCCCCCTCTGTGTACTTCCATCAGCTACCACCGAGTCAAACACCTGCAACCATTTCACTGAATTAGTACCAAACAGTAGTTAGTGTTCACTTTTCCAGAATGGTGCTATAAGCCCGAGTACAAACATACCTTGGAGAGATTGTGCATTTGGCTCCAGACCACAGAAATAAAACAAATATCCAATAAAAGGAGTCACATCATTTTTTTTTGATATCTCAGTGCATATAAAAGTTATGTTTATACTATACTGCGGTCTACTTAGTGTATAACAGCATTATGTCTAAAAAACAATGTAAACACCTTAATTTTTTAAAAAATATATTTCATTGATTTTTTTACAGAGAGGAAGAGAGAAGGATAAAGAGTTAGAAACATCGATGAGAATCATCGATCAGCTGACTCTTGCGCACCCCCTGCTGGGGATGTGCCCACAACCAAGGTACATGCCCTTGACCAGAATCGAACCTGGGACCTTCCAGTCTGCAGTCTGAAGCTCTATCCACTGAGCCAAACCGATTTTGGCTACACCTTAAGTTTTAAAAAAAAAATATTGCTAAAAAAATGCTAACCATCATCTGAGCCTTCAGCAAGTCATAATCCTTTTCCTGGTAGAGAGTTCTACCTTCAACTTGTAAGATATGCAATGTCTACAAAGGACCATAAATCAATGTGCAATAAAACACAGTGTGCCCATATAAAAAGCAGTGATGCAATGAAAACTGGGTTTCTTCTCAAGTCTAGCTGACCCCACCTGAGCAAAAAGTGTCTCTGGCAGCAGCACACCTCTAAGGGAACAAGGACCATGGAAAAAGTTGCGCAAAAATATGTTGTATTCGTTTGTCCTTACTGTAGCTACATTTCTTTTAAGTTGTGAATCCTTGGATAAATAAATAAGGAACCTATACTAAGTGTGTGTGTGTGCACACACATGGGCATGTGTGTTTGCTTTGAGTCCAGTCAAACCATAACCCGCCCCTAAGACACTACAAACTGTTTAAATCTTTAGTATGGAAATAAAGTTATTTGTACTAAAGTTATTTGTCCTTGTGTTCTTCATTAAAATGTAAGCTCCTGAACGTCAGAGGCTATTACTGAGTGCTTGTTGAAAAGAAGGGACACTTCGCCGAAACCGGTTTGGCTCAGTGGATAGAGCAGGTGTCGGCAACCTATGGCTCAAGAGCCGCATGCAGCTCTTTTGAAGCTTTACCACGGCTCCGACAACGTGCGAGCCCGTGTGAAAATGAAGGTAACGTCTTACAGCCCTGATGTGCTGACACTGTGCACTGAGGTTCAGGAGCAAAAATCCCACTGACCAGGTAAATTAAATATTCTAATTAGCTGTTAATTTGCAAATATATATTTTACATTGTTAAGTGAAAAAGTCCTTTTTTTCTTCAGATTGACAGCTAACTGCACGATCCGGTATATAGCATTAAGGTAAGAAACAATATGTGCAGTGTTATATTTGTTTTAAATGTAGCAATGGTTTTGCGGCTCCCAGGTTTTTTTTCCTTCGGAAACGGGTCCAAGTGGCTCTTTATGTCTTAAAGGCTGCAGACCCCTGGGATAGAGCATCAGCCTGAGGACTAAAGGGTCCCAGGTTCGATTCCAGTCAAGGGCATGTACCTTGGTGGCGGGCACATACCCAGTGGGGGCCATGCAAGAGGCAGCTGATCGATGACTCTCTCTCATCAATGTTTCTAGCTCTCTCTCTCTCTCCCTTCCTCTCTGTAAAAAATCAATAAAATATATTTTTAAAAAAGTAGAGAAGGGACACTTATTTGATGGAGTACTTTAGGAATAGGAGGACAAATGGCTTCATTTTGTGAACTACTGAGATCTCTTTTAGTTCTGTGTGTTCAATGACCCCACTTCTAGTTTGTGTGAGATGTCTACACTAATAAAAGAGAAACATGCTAACTGACCATACCTTCATGATGCCCTCCAGCCAATTAGGAGTATGCAAATTAACCCAGCAAAGATGGTGGTTAATTTGCATACACAGGCACTCAGTGCAGGCAGCCAGAAGGAAGACCCATTCTTGCACGCATCGGGTCTCTAGTTATACATAAAGTATTGAAGCCACTTACTCGTATAGTGTACGTTCTACCTCCAACTCTGCCCCGAGCTTCTAAAACCAAAACATTAACTTCATGTTCAGCTAACAGTTTAGCAGCAGATAATCCTAAAAGGGGAAAAGAAGAAAAACAAAATCAAAGAACATATTAACATATAAAGATGAAACATACAAAATTTAACCAGGTCTACACATAAAACTAATGCAGGGCATAATACATTGATTTTGCTTTCTAATTGATTTTGCTTTCTAATAAATTCTGACCACCGTGATTAATTGGACCACCAATTTTAAAAATCTGTCATATATATTATCTATCATACTTTTATTATCTATCATAAGGTTGGTTAAAAAAGTATACTATAATTTTTAAAGTATATATTTTTTGGTTTTTGATGATAATCAAATCACACTTAAGAGGATTTTAGTGCAAGGTGGGTACTGGAAATATTGGGGTGAGAAGGAATCACTTTGATTTTCTAACCACTATGCTGTATACGTGAAACTAATACAAATTAATATTGAATAAAAACTGTAATTGAAAAATTAAATAAAAAAAGAATTTGGAGTTATGTCCTACTTCCTTGAGGGTGAAATATGGACATGAATTATTTAGAATTCTCTGCTCAAGAGATATTTATTTATTTATTTATTTATTTATTTATATTAGTATGGACTCATGAATGTTTTATACTTTGGGTTATAATCCAACTAGAGGCCCAGTGCATGACATTCATGCACTGGGAGGCGCGGGTCCCTCAGCCCAGCTGCGCCCTCTTGCAGTCTGGGACCCCTCAGGGGATGTCTGCCTGCTGGCTTACATCTGTAATTAAACTTTCAAGGAAAAGGTTCTTTGCTTCCTGAGATATAAATCTCAATTGTCTTGTCACTGTGAAACCTATTTGACACGCCTGCCTTCTTTACCTCACCCAGGTTTTTCCTTTACCTTGCATCTTTAAGCATGTTCACAATGCTCTCTTTCAGGAAAAAAAATAAAAGAAAAAGAAATTGGCCCATTTCAGTCATGCCACCCTTTCCAGTTAAATTTCTGGATTTCCTTCCACAACAGATGATCTAGTGCCTCCACCTCCTCACCAGAACAAACCTTGAAAAGCAGCCTATTCCTCACGGAAAAAAAATGTCCAGTGACCCTACTATTAATATAGATAAGTGATATAATCATCGGTCACACCATCCCTGTTATATTTTTCTTCTTAGCATACATTGCCACCTGGCACATTATAAATGTTAGAAGTCAGCAGAGTCTAAATGCTACTAGTACATTTTCTGGTCTTTGGACTAGTATTGAATTTTTTAGCAAAATACAAGAGAATATCGTGTGCACACACATTTATTTGGTACATACAACCTTTCCTATCTATCTACCCACGCATACATACATTCACACATACATACACACATCTAGATCAATCTATATTTTCTACTTCCTTTCAGAAATAATCACTGCTTTTGAAAACACCAAATCTTCTAATCCCTTTAATAAGCTCAAAGACAGTGTTGTCTCAAATGATAAATAGATAAAAACTAACAATTAACTTCAATTTGTACTGAATTGGACAGACTGTCTAGACAGCCCTAATCTATTTAATTATTGTTCAGCATTCATCTTCACTTTACATAAATAGATCTCACCCAAGTTAGGGAATGCAATTACCGTTTAATTCATTATTTGCTCTAGTTTTTCATTGAAACTTAAAATACACCAAGGGCGCTCCACACTGCTCTCCTTAGAATCTGCACACTAAGATGCACTGGGGTTTAAAGCAGTAGATTCCAAATGTTTTACGGAACGCTAGTCCTCAAGATGCTCAAGGGAAAGTATCAATATTCATGGAGGTTGGAATATCTCATGCTGTTTCTCTGAGAAATGTGTGGTGTGCACTGGCATATTAAAGGCCCTGGTAAGTCCTACAGTGAAGACACCTGTTTAACAGCATTTTTCTACCCTCTGCCTTTAAAAAAATAAAATTAAAAACAAAAAACTATACCTCAGAACAAACTTTTCAAAAGCTGAATTCATATTGTGAAACGTTGTTCACATATTTACAGTAATGAAGTCCCCTGAGCAGGTTTTCAGATGAACAATGCCTAGAGCACAAACTAAGAGTATTGTCACAAAGTTTTAATGTAGCTCGTGGCTTATGCTCTGCTCACTTTCCTAGTTCTGTCTGTTTATTCTTAAAGGTAACATGTTTCTTTAACTTTGACATTTGTTACCACTCTGAAATGTGTATAATATGCATCATATTAATTTTTTTAAGTTAATGTTCTATTATTCAGTGAAATGGTCTCTGGTCAACAGAATTCTTACATAACTACATATTTGGATTCTTGGGCCGAATACTCTGAGGACAATAAAAAATATACTCAAACATCAGTGGATAGAGCGTCAGTCTGTGGACTGAAAGGTCCCAGGTTCAATTCCGGTCAAGGGCATGTATCTTGGTTGCGGGCACATCCACAGTAGGGGGTGTGCAGGAGGCAGCTGGTCGATGTTTCTCTCTCATTGATGTTTCTAGCTTTCTATCCCTCTCCCTTCCTCTCTGTAAAAAATCAATAATATATATATATATATATATATATATATATATATATATATATATATACATATCTCCTGTCCTCACCAGTTTTTCAGTGGTTAGAGCATCGGCTTGAAGGCCAAAGGTTGAGGGTTCAAGGGCACGTACCTTGGTTGCAGACTCAACCCCTGGGTCCCGTTGGGGCACATGTGGAGGCAACCAATTGATGTGTTTCTCTCTTATCAATGTTTCTCTCTCTCTCTCTCTCTCTCTCTCTCTCTCTCTCTCTCTCTCTCTCTCTCTCCCCCTTCCTCCCTCCATCCCTCCCTCCTCCCTCCTCTCCACACTCTCTAAAAAAAATAATAATAATTCAATGGAAAAAAATATCCTCAGGTATGGATTAAAAAAAATGTACAAATCTTGACAAAAGTTACACAAAATATCCAAAAGCATTTACAACTGACTTAGGGACTATTAAAGCACTCGTGAAATCCTGCTAAGCACACACAAAGATGATGTGTCTGACTCTCAGGAACCCCTGGGAAGGAATGCCTCTCCCATCTGCTTATGAAACACCAGTCTGTGTGCAAAGTTTATCAAGAGCCAGACTTGCAGCTGTGAACTCTCTGGGGAGACACAACAGCCATAAGGCAATGTTTCTAGTCAGTTTTGCATTAAAAAATCACTCCAATCTGACGGATAGAGCTAAAATGAGAGGAAGCCCAGTGCCTTTTCCATTGTCAGTGATGCACTGAGACTTGGCTTCTGGAACAGGGACTCTGCGCAAGAAATGCCCTTTACTCCTTTGCAAGAAATGGAGAACACCAAATTAATAGCAGCAACCATGGACAGAGCCAGGTTTCAAAGGGCCTGAAGCTTATGGAATGTGGGTGCCCTTCTTAAGAAAAACGAATGCAAAGTTAAAAATATAAGATTCAGCATGAAGCTGGTTATTTCTTTAGAGTGAGAACCAAAGGGGACCTGCAGTTGTAAGGCCATAAAGCATGAAGGTCATGAGCTGCATGGTAAAGGAGAAAGAGCAGGTAATCAGAGAGGAAAAATAAAAGATAAAACATTCCTGAAGAGATACTGGGGCACAAAACTAGGAAAAGGCAAGAACAATATCTCAGAAAGAACCCTGAATTGTGAAATATGGATGGTATGGAGATAGGAAAGGAGACAGAACTAATCAATTTACATTACACATTCTCATATTTGTTTTCCAGAATCATATTGCTTTAGGATTTTGGAAAAGCAGTCCATTGCAGGCACTCAACAAGTGTTTGTTGTGTGAGTGAATGAAAGAATGAATGAAAGCAAGGGAACTACTCCTTTTTACATTTTTGTTTATTGAGTGAGAGAGAGAGAGATCAATTTGTTGTTCCATGAATAGATGTATTCATTGGTTGGTTCTTCTTGTATGTACCCTGACCAGGGATCAAACCTGCAACCTTGATTTATCCATCTAACCAACTGAGCTACCTGCCCAGGGCTGGGAAATATTCATAAACATACATGCATGTTTTTGCTGGCACTGGCTGGAGTTGTCAAAGCAACAGCTTATGTCAATCTCTTTTCCGGTGATAAGAGACTCTTTATCCTCAACAGGCCCAATAAAAAGCTATCTTCACCCAAAATTAATTTTTGTAAGCATGTTGGGAGTCTCCTCAAAAGGAGTGTACATAAAAATGGCTTCTGTGGGCCACCCTACTTACTCCCTTCCTGCCTTTCTCCCTCTTTCTAAATCAGACCCTGCAGCTATACTTCAGAAATGATTGCCACCCTTCTGAGTTGTGGACAGATTAGTGTGGGATTCTCGCTAGGGCTGAAACATAATGTGTGAATTGCAAACATTTATATGAATTATGACAACACAAGTGACCATTTAATATATCAATCATGATTTGGGGGGTGGGGGGCTCATTAAAAGACACAGGAGGGCATACCCTGACTTGACCTTGATCCCAGCTTCACAAAGGGATTGATTCTCTTTGGGCAATATATGCCCTACATCTTCCTGCAAGTTCTAAAAAATACACTGGGAGTAGGATAAAATTAAAACCTGCCCCTCTTTTTCTGTATCTTTCTCATTGAGGTAGCACAGGTTAATAATATTATGTAAGTTTCAGGTATGCAGCATTCATATTTGATATCTGTATACACTATATTGTGCTCACCACCAAAATTCTAGTTGCCATCTGCCAGCATGTATTTGAACCTTTTCCTTTAGCAATTCTTCCTCCTTCCTGTTCACTTACCCAATTTTCTAAGGAAAGGCACTTTAAAAAGAGCAGGGCTGGAATAACATGATTACTACATCAACACTACAAAAATCCGGATACTGATGTCCTTTGCCTGTTTAGGGCAAAAGACATGCAATCAGCGAGGCAGCGCAGCCACCTCGGGAATTAGAAGTGAGAGCCTTAAAGGGGAGACTATCTTTCAGCCACTTCCAGGCTAGGTGACTGGACTCTAAACACTTCAGTTTTGTAAAATGGAGGCGACCATACCAACCCCCTGTCAGGACTGCAGAGGACCAAGAAAATCCACCTAAAGTGCTTCAGATAACGGCACAGCAGGAGCTCATGGTTAGCATGGAATAGCAGCGACAGGCGATGGTTCCAGCTTCTCCCAATGCACACCCCCACCCAAACGGGCACAGCCCCCCGCTTCTGCTCTGCTGGGTCTGGGGCAGTGGCTGCCCTCTCTCCAATGCCCCAGAGAGACACCCCGTCTCCCCCAAACGCCAGGGCGCTGCAGAAAACCCCCTCCTCCCGGGGACCCCGGGCTGCCCCTGAGGCTCACACTGACCTGAGATGCCACCTCCTATCACGACCACGTCGAACATGTGGCCCGAGACACTCGCCTTCTCCCGACTCGCCATGCTCTGCTGGACAGTCTCCTGGGGAGAGCGGCTGGCCAGGGCTGGGGAGGGCTCTTCTACCCACTCTCTCGCGGAGCCCGGGGGCGGAGCCAGCTCGTCCGCTGACGTCCAGTCGGGGTCCCGCCCATAGGGCGGAGCGCACACTTGGACGGACACCCCGCGGGAGTCCCGGGCCGGCCCCGACGCCTCCATGGGCATCCGGCCCGTGGCCATTCTGCCCAGCACCTGGGCGGAGTCCAGGGGCAGAGGCTGGGGTCCAGAGTGCCGAAAGGGGCGGGCCTCTGGGGCCAGCCCCCGGGGAGAGCCGGACACCGAGATCGTTTCTAGGGACCAGCTGCGCAGGGTGCTGAGCTGCGAGGACTGGTGGGACCCCTGGCTGAACACCAGCGAGGAGTTCGCGGACAAGGGCCGCTCCTGCACTGAACTGCGGGCCGTGCTGAGCAGGGAGGCCGGGGAGGACCCCCGCTCGGTCTCTAGCGACGAGTGGGAGGAAGTGGCTATTTCTTGGACCGAACTCCTCTCGCTGCCGCCTGCCTGGTACGGGGGGGACCCCTGAATCGAAGCCAGGGAAGAGCTCACGAGATGGCTAGGTCTCAGCCCAGCCCCCAGGGACAAGCGGGTCGCTAAGGACCGCAGGGATTCCTGGGACGACCCCTGGGGGGTGTTGTGCGGCGCCCCGGGGATCACCACCGAGTCCGGGGTGTAGGGAAGGGATGCGCGGTGGGGGTACTCCCGGATAGAGATGCCCGACGTGCTACTGGGCTCGACGGACGAGGACAGTTCTGATTCTCGGAACACGCTGTCCGAGGAGGGCTGGGCGGCCTGGACGGGCATCGTCTTCGGGGTGTCACTGGGTTGGGGAGGTTCGATGGCCGTTACCGGGAGGCTGTCGGGGGCCACCCCCTCAGAGACGTTGGAGTGAGTGTCTGAACTGGAGGGCCGGGTCCTCTGGTCGTAGGCTTGGACGCCCGGGAGGTCGACGTCGGATCCTTGGCCGGAAGCGGCAGCGGCCTGAGGAGGCCCGTGCGAGCCCCAGGGGTCCTCGGCGTCCGGGGTGGGCAGGGGGGAGAGGGTGCTGGAAGGCAGATAAGACACAGGCCGCCTCTCAGAAATGGCGCTGGAGCCCGTGGCAGAGGCCGGGCCGGGGGTCTGCGCTGAGGCGGCCACGAGGCCCCGGCCGACGCCGCCCCGGCCCCCGCCCCGGCCTCCGCCATGGGAGGCATCGGGTGGCTGCGCGCTCATCGCTCAAGCCCGGCAGGCGGGGAGGTGCTCCTCGCTTCGCTCCGCCCCTAAGGCCGCCGGCCCTCTTCTCCGCCCGCGCTCCACGCCCTCCGAGGCGCGCCCCGGAAGTGAGGCGCGCGAGTTCCGGTGGGCAAGCTGTTGGGCGAGGCCACCGAGGGGGCGGCGGGGGGGAGAGCGAGATGGCCCGGATGGCCAGCTGAGGAGACCGGTGTGGCCGCGTGGGAGGGGGTCCGGACCCGGAGCTTTTTTTACCCTTACACTTGACTCAGGGAGACTGGGCCAAGGTGGATTTAAGAAATCGGGGACCGTAAGGGAGGGGCCGGGGTGGTAGGGTCGCCGGCCCCCCCTCCACTTGGTTTGGCCCGAATCTGATGTCCCTGGGGCCTGTGAGGGCCGCGGGCCTGGCGCCCTCCCTACGAGGGGGCGGGGCGAAGCGGCACCTGTCACTCAGGGTGGCATCGATGATTGGTTTTCTCTGGGTTTCTCCAAGCCCACGTGCTTGACCAACCTTGACCATCACAGATCAAGTGGGATCTGCTGTTTCAAGTCGAAGGTCAGGGGGTGGCTTGGATGCAGAGAGGAAACAAAGCAAAAATAACACATGCCCCCCCCAACACACACACACACAAACACACACACACACACCCTTACTGAAAAGAGGACTGTCTACTGCACATATTTTACTGTCTTCCAGGCCCGCATCTTGCTACATTTATCTTAAATTTGCCCTTTTCCCAACAGAACTCAATTTGTCATCACAAAACCCTCCAAAACAGATGTAATTATGACTTGAATTCAAAGTAAATGATGAAAACTCTAGGAAGTTAACTAGTATCTGTTCCCGCCTCTAAACATATCTAAAACCTACCCTCACCCCATTCTGTGTCAAATAATATCCTGTTGTAGAAACTGTAAGGAAATAGAGATTTAGTGTTTTCTTTATCCAGTTTTAATAGCTTTTGCTACTAAAAAGATATCATTTTTATCTTGTTAGACTTTGAAGTAGAACAAATTTTATATATATAAATTCAGCCCATTGGCCAGCCGACATGGCTCAGCGATTGAGCATTGGCCCATGATCAGGAGGTCATGGTTCCATTCCCTGTCAGTACACATTCCTGGGTCATGGGCTTTATCCCCAGTGTGGGGCGTGCAAGAGGCAGCTGATCAATGATTCTCTCACATCATTGATGTCTCTCACTCTTCCTCTCTGAAATTGACAAATATATATATATATATATATATATATATATATATATATATTTAAGAATTCAGCCCTTTAAAATATGATTCTGTCCAAATTTCTCCTTATTCCTGTTGTTTCCATTTATTTTCATTAAAATATTTTATTTCATACTCTATTCAAGCTATGGGGCAGGAGGTGACCCAAGACAGTTGGAGACCTTCAACAAGCATGTGGTCACTAGAGGAGCTAGTACAGGAAATAGACAACCTAAAGCTTGATTGTCCATCCAAACTCTAATCAATCTTATTTTGGAAAGGACTGTAGTACTAAGACAGAGTTAGGATGTCCTGACCACTCGCGAGGTTAACTTTGGGGGGAAGGGTTTAAAAATGTTCCAGAATGAACAATGTGGACAAAGGTCCCGTGGTAGATAGAAGCATTCTTTACTGAAGCCACTGAAAGCCAGCCAGTGGAACTGTAGCAAGGGGAGAAGCCAGAAACAAAGTTTCTGAGATCTGCTGGGCCAAATACTGTCTTGACGTGTATTCTTTTATATATATTTATATATTTTTAGAAAGAGAGGAAGGGAGAACAATAGAGAGATAGAAACACTAATGAGAGAGAACTATGGATCAGCTCCCTCCATCAAGCTCGCAACTGGGAATGGAGCCTGCAAACCAGTGACCTCTTGGTTCATGGATCTGTGCTCAACCACTGAGCCACACTGGTCAGGCTTGGTATATATTCTAAAGCAATGCAAGCCACTGTAATTTTTAAGCAGGGAGCAATAGGACTAGATTGCATTTAGAAAAGGTCTATCTGCCTGCAGTCTGAATAATGGATTAGAGACAAAAATAATTAGATATAGAGAAACCAAACTTTCAAATTCTTTAAAGAGGTGACAGTTAAGACAGCAGTGGAACTGGACAGATGTGGAATATTAGAGACATTTACATGTCAAATTGATAGGAATTGGACGGGGCTAGGATTTAAAAGATCTTGACCATGTCTTTGGACATGTTGAGTTTCAAATGACTTTGAAACCCCGAGATGAAGGTATAGAGTAGGCCTGTGATTTTGACTGGAGATAAAAATTTGGAAGTCTCATGAAATGAATGATAGATAAAATAGATGGGTAGAAATAGGAGTGTTTTTCTCCATTTTATTGTTTGTATTATGTATTTTGTATTTCTATTAGAATAAAAATGATTTTAAAATAGAGTAATCAAGAAATAATTGCGACATCGTACAAGTATTATTTCTTCCCTTGTGTGTCCTGGGGCAACTTACCTAACTTCTCTCTGCCTATCTCCTCAGCATCCAGTCTCATAAATTGTTCTGTCAGGATTCCAGCAGGAAACAGCCAACTGCAGATCATTTGAAGATCGTTATCTTAAAGGAAGTATTTTAAAAGAAGTAGATAAAGTGGAGAGAAACCACAAGGAATTGTGCTGTTATCCAGACTGGTGACAGCAAGAAAGCATTACTGCAGGGGAGAGAGCAGTGAGCAGAACCTGGCAATACTGGTTTTGGGAAAGGACTGCCTGGTTCAAGTTGTGTTCTTGAGTTCAGAGAGGCCCTCAGCCCACAGGAACCCCTCAGAGGGGGAGCCAGGACAAAAACCACCCAATCCTCCCTCCCTCCTGTCTCCTGATGGTCCTCTCTACTGACTTACCCTAACCAGAAGCTGCAAGGCAAGGGAGCCTGTTAATGAGTCCTTACAGGGCAACCCTTAGGGGACAGAACAGGCTAGAGAATAGTGTTGGGTGCACCTTGAAGGACCAAGGAAAAATACCCAGGATCATGGTAGTGAGGATTCAATGAGCAAATAAATATAAAATACTTCAGCCTGAACCGGTTTGGCTAAGTGGATGGATCATCGGCCTGAGGACTGAGGGTCCCAGGTTCGATTCTGGTCAAGGGCATGTACCTTGGTTGCAGGCACAGCCCCAGTGGGGGGGGGGGTGCAGGTGGCAGCTGATTGATGTTTCTCTCATTAATGTTTCTATCTCTCTCCCTTCCTCTCTGTAAAAAAATCAATAAAATATATTTTAATGTATTATATAATACTTTATTATATAAATAATATATATATAATACTTCAGTAATCACACAAGGCAGACATTTTCATTTCTAAAAACTACATTATACCATATTCATGTCATGAACTGTAATTTACTTAACCATTACCTTCTAACATTAAGCATTTAGTATTGTACTTTCCATTTTTTATATAATACATGACATGGCATGAACATTTTTGTGCAGAAAATATTGTACATATTTCTCAGGATTTTCTTGAGCTAGAATACTAAAAATAGAATTATTGGATAAGAAAGTAAGAACATTTTTTAATCTCTTTGAAGTTACCAATTTATAGTATTCGCCCAAAAGATCATATAAATTTATACCTCGCCGAGACCGGTTTAGCTCAATGGATAGAGCATTGACTTGGGGTCTGAAGGGTCCCGGGTTCAATTCCAGTCAAGGGCATGTACCTTGGTTGCGGGCATATCCCCAGTAGGGGGTGTGCAAGAGGCAGCTGATCGATGACTCTCTCTCATCGATGTTTCTAACTCTCTATCTCTCTCCCTTCCTCTTTGTACAAAATCAATAAAATATTTTTTAAAAAATTTATACCTCACCAGCAATGTCTAAGAATGGCTGTCTTCTTACTGCCCCCACTCCAATATTAAGCAAGTTAACTTTTTTTCACCTTTCTTAACTTGACAGGTGAATAATCAGCATGGTGTTGCTCTTTTAGTC